GAGAGAGAGAGAGAGAGAGAGAGAGAGAGAGAGAGAGAGAGAGAGAAACTCATGCACACATATTTGTATGTATGGATAGCAACAGACAGAGAGAAAACTCAGAGAGAGAGAGTCAAGAGAGAGCCATATATATTGTTACACATCTATCAACTAAAAGGGCGCACTTTGCGAAACAAACAAGGAAAATAGCAGACAGCATGAAGCACACTTTAACCATTCTTTTGCCTTCTCCTGTGTAGTTCTTTCTTTTCTTTCATTTGGCTATTTTCATGGTTTCTCTTTTATTTGTTCTTTATCTCTCCCATCACTGTGCCTCACACATACAAGGTTCACCACCTTGATGTAGTTGCGTGCAGGCTGCCTACATCCTTGTGTCATGACGGCCTACTTGCACGCTGTGAAAAAGCGGCAGAGTAAGGGGAGAGGGGATAAAGAGAGAGAGATTGAAAGGAAGACAAAGGGAAAGGAAGGAGTTTGAGACAAAGATCAGAACATAAGGAAGGATAAGTGAAGACTCGTATTCAGCCCTTGACACCAGAGAGGACATGAACAGTAGGGAAAAGGTGGGTGGAAGACCTAACTGAGTATTCTCAGCAGAACAGTTGCCACAACCCCTGGCATTAACCATGCCCACCAAACACTCCCAACAAATGGCATGCTGGTTGCAGGCTAGAGAGGAAGAAAGAAGGGGCATCGCAGAAGACGATGCATTTAAACGTCCTTGACTGCAAAATGGATATATGATGTCCAGATGCGAAGGTGGTCAGGAAGGGAAGGGCAGCCCTCCCCACACATGGATGCAGAAACCGTGGCATTGTAGTGATTCTAGCAGAGACAATGACGCCTGCAGCCGACTGTTACAATGTCTGTAGCTGTGCAGCTAAGATGGTTGCAGAGCATCAACACAATGCCCTGCCGCGGCAGAGGGTCAGAGAAGTGATCCTTAACATAAAAAGAAGCATGCGGACAATTTGCTTAGGCAAGAAAACATCATTGTTCCAAAGGAAATCCCCAACGTCAATCATGGCATGGACCATGGTACCTTTGTCCCACAGTTCCCAGTCAGAGGCATGAACAATGGCTAGATCCATGTAGAATGCACACAAAGATATGGGACGGAGGATGAAATCATGAAACCACTCACTGTGCCAAGCATGGAGTAGCTCTCATTTGTGGTCCCCCATTGCAACTTGTAGACCTTAATTGTAAAGCCTCCTTCAGTGGTATAGTTACGACCCAGCATATATATAGGGGGGGGAGAGAGAGAGAGAGAGAGAGAGAGAGAGAGAGAGAGAGAGAGAGAGAGAGAGAGAGAGAGAGAGAGAGAGAGAGAGAGAGAGAG